CTTCAGTAGAAACATTTCAGATAAGGAAAATAAGTGTAAAAGTGGTTTACAGATCTGGTATTGGACTTTACCTTGAAAGATAGAATTCGAGTCTTTGATTCTGATTCAATGAAAAGTTCTCCGTGCTAGTCTTTATATAATATCTGATCTCTTGACTGTAAGTCAGGGGCTTAGAAAAGCTTCTGTGATTGTAATGTGTTCTACTTAGAAGTGCATCAGAGGTGAATTTCCAGTGTAACAACATATTAGGAGACATCTCTTCATTGGAAGCTTCAAAATAATATTTATGTTCCTTACTATTAGATTTAAGATATGATTTCAAGAGCACAGATTACTGGGGGGGGCGGAGTATATATTGTGGTTCTATTTTCTTTTCTATTATGTAGGTGATAATCTTTAATTACATAGAGTTGGTCAGAATTTAGAATGGGTTCAGTATTAATAAACTACTTATAATCAAACACACTGTGAGATTCTTGTGCTATACTATTTTTTCCTTTGAAGATGGATTTTTTCCAGTTCTGAATGCTGGGTTATAATTTAAGATGTAAAAAAGCTGTATAGTTACCGATCTGTAGAGCTTCATGGGCCTGGGACATACTTTTCCCCCTTCTTCCTTGCCATTCTTGACTACTAACTGTAAATAGTCTAGTTTTAGTGTGTATATGCTAGGCAGTTACCTTTTATACCCTAAAAAAAAAAAATCTGTGAACTAGATAATATATTCTCACAGTGAGAAAGAGAAAATCCTGGCAAATAAAACAAATTCTATTTATATTTTTCATTAATGCCAAATAGACACTCTTATCAGTCATTTATCCTTAGGAATTATATTAGTTATTATATACATATTGAAGTTATTTTGAGAAAAAATTTTTTTTTCTCAGTACTGAGGCTTGAACTCAGGGCCTACACCCTGAGCCCCTCTACCAGCCCTTTTTTGTGAATGATTTTTTTGAGATAGGGTCTTGTGATCTATTTGCCCAGTCTGGCTTCCAACTGTGATCCTCTTGAGTTCTGCCTCCTGAGTAGCTAGGATTACAGGCATTAGGCACCGGCAGAAATGTGATTTTTTTTTTGTTGTTGTTGAATATTTTCTTTAGTTTAATAAAATTTAGGAGATGTGTTTACTGTACTTTGAATTTTGCTGTACACAGTTTGTTATTCCTTCTTGGGCATAGTGGTTCTGTACAGTTAGACAATAAATGTACCAAGATTGTCCAGGCCTTGGTAGGAACTTTCTAAAGGAAAGCCGTCAAACTTGCCTAAAGAAATGAAATAGAAATATTTTAGATCTTAAATAACTATACCTTTCATGTTTGGGTAAAAAATATTACCATAATTTTAAGTTAGGATTTTGCATTGGTAATGTCTAGATAATTACATCATGTGTTACTGGGGATCATCAAACTCTGGAAGAGTAAATTCATAGCACAGAGATTGCACAGACTTAAGTAGCTTGTACTTAAGTACATAGCTTGACTTTCTTTTTTATTTTTGGTGGTACTGAATTTGAACTTGGAGCCTCATGCTTGCTAAGCAGACACTCTGCCAGCCCCAGTGTATAGCTTGTTGATTTGTCACAGTCAAGAGGAAGAGCTGCACGTGTCTATGGACATAGGTAGAGATATTTAGGTTTCTATGTATGCACATAAACATTGACCTGACACAAATGATATATATGCATTTCAGGTTTAGACAGATAATTTGGTTTAGTGATTTCTTCCTGGTTTAGGTTCTCCTATTGATAAAATTTATACCGCCAAAATTCATTGTGGTAACACTCTGTGTGAAATAAAGAATATCTTTAAAATAGAGATGTTACTACTCAGTGAATCATTTGCTACTCAGTGTAACAATAACCTTTGAGGCTGCTAGTGATAGCTCATGTCTCTAATCCCACATGCTCAGGAGGTAGAGATTGGGAGGATGATGATTTAAGGCCATTCCTGGCAAAAAGTTACCAAGACCCCTATCTCAACTAATGAAGCTGGAGGTGGTGGTGTGCACTGTCATCTCAGCTACATGGTAGGCATAAGTAAGAGGATTGTGGTCCAGGCCAGCCAGGGCAAAAATGCCAGAGCCTGTTTGAAAAATTACTAAAAAGTTGTACAGGCCCTGGTGGCTCACCCCTATAATCTTAGCTACTTGGAAGGCTGAGATCAGGAGGCTAGTGATTCATGAGCAGCCTGGGAAAATAAAGACCTCCCCATCTCCAAAATAACCAGAGCAAAATGGACTGGAGAGTGTGGCTCGAACAGTGCAGAGCCTGTTTTGCAAGTGCAAGGCCCTGAGTTCCGACCGTACTCTCAACCACAAACAAAACCAAATCGAAAAAAAAAAAAAGGAAAAATGACTAAACAGCAAAAAAGGCTGGGGGCTGATGTGTTAGAGTGCTTGCCTAGCAGCCACTAGGCCCTGAGTTTGAACACTAGTACTGCCCCTCACTCTCTTCCCCACCAAAGCCCCTCAAAACAAAACAACCAACAATAAAAAAACTTCTGAATGAGCCAGTTAGTCATGTGGCTAGCTTCATCTACTTTTGTACTTGAACATTTTCTTTTTTTTTGAAACAGGATCTTGCTACATAGCCCAGACTGGCCTCAAACTTTTAGTCCTCCTGTCTAAGCCTTCCGAGTGCATACCAACAACACCTGGCCTTATTTTTGTTTTATAGTATGAAGATTGAAAAATCAAAACTTGAACTTAATTTGGAAATAAATACAAAGTTGTAAGACAAAGATCAATATGAAAAATTTAAAAAGGTTTCTTCCCCACCCTAAGACTTATCTAATGCCAGTATTTTGTTCCAGTCCTTCTTCATCCCTTCCTTTCCACTTCCACTCCCTTTTTCTGGTTTACTGACTCATAATAGTTCATCTACTACATAAGAGTCTTTTGCCTAAGTAATGGTCCGTTAGCCCTAAATACTGCTCTCTGTTGTCTCTTAAATAACCATAGTTCATACATCAACTGCAGTAAACTTAACATATAAATACATCTATCTTTTGTCTGTATTACAGTTTCATCAATTGATTCGGTAATATACTTCAGTGGGACTTGGATTTGAACTCAGGGCTTCATGCTTACAAAGCAGGCATACTACCTCTTGAGCCATACCTCCGGTCCTCTGTCTTTTCTCTCTCTCTCTCTCTCTCTCTCTCTCTCTCTCTCTCTCTCTCTCTCATATTCTCTCTCTCTCTCTCTCTCTCGTGGGAATTCAGTACCTCATACTTGAGAGGCAGGTGCTCTATCACTTGAGCCATTGGGCCAGCCTAGTAATGTGCTTTACAGCATTTTCTTCTGCCCTGTATGAGCAAATACTGCATTTACTTAACATTTCTCTTCAGCTGGCTTTAATAAGGATGCTATAGACTTTTCTTCTTCCCTCCTCTTCTGCTCTGCATAACCCGTCTGGTCCATACTTCCCATCCTTCTCCCTCTGCCTCCAGAATGCGAGGATAATAGGCATACGTCATCTTGCCTGAGCAGACTTTATCTTCTTTTGACAAACTTTTTTTTGGTGGTGTTGGTGATCAGTCATGCTAGGTATGACAGTGATATTTTTAAAAATTGAATACTCCTGAGATTGTGTTCTGAGTCATAATATTGAGCCACAGTTAGTCAATATTATTTAGCTGCCTTTCTCTCCTGTAAACTTACGTGCGGAGGGAAAAACATCTCACTCAGCTTGTCAGCTTTTACATTTTACTACTAAGATTATCAAATGGATTTCATTTGTATTTATAGCTTATACCTATACACCTATAAAGGCAATGTTGTAATCTGAAATTTCTGATTCACCACATGATTTTGAGTTTTAAAAAAGATACATATTTTAAATTTGAGTAGCATCTTTTGTGAATTTTATCTAAATTTTTTTCCTGGCAATATTGTGCCACCTAGTGGAAATACGTGTCCTTCAGGATAGGTCTCACAGACCCTAGCTGGAATTCCAGATGTATTTTAACTTTAAAAAAATAGTTTAGAATGTTTGAGTCTTGTTGGTTGGCCTGGAATTCTTTAGAACAGTGATTGCCTTGTTCTAAACAAGAGTTTAGCACATAAGAAATTCTTAGCAAATGAAAGCTTAGTCAATACCTTAAATTATAAGCGACTGAGAATTAAAACATGCTGTTCTTTCTCAAGAAATACCCTACATTTATCTTCTTCATCATTGAAACTTTAACCAAAGCATATTGCTTATCAGTCAGTATTAAAGTAGTTGTTGCTGTGTGGCTCAATGTCAAAATGCACCCACAACCCCAAGAGCTTCATTGTTTTATATCTACTTTCTGAGCAGAATGTTAGAGGACTTTTAGAAGAAAAACACTTTAGATGTGTTAATGAAATGGCCTAATGAGAAAAAAATGCTTCCTAGAAAACAGCCTGAATAACTTAGGTTTGCCATTTGAAGACTTCTTACACAGGATATATGCTTTACTTAGGTATATGTAGAATTGAGAGTTTTATCAGTATTGTAGACTTGACAGTTTTCCTTGTTATTAAATATGGAGAAGATGCCTTATTCTTTGTGAGATACTCACAATGCACCTTTCTTTCTTTCTTTTTTTTTTTGGGTCTGAGGTTTAAATTCAGAACTTTGTGCTTGCAAAGCAGGTACACTCTAATGCTTGAGCCATACCTCTAGTCCATTTTGCTCTGGTTATTTTGGAGATGGAACTATATCCTTGGGCTGACATCAAACAGTGATCTTCCTGATCTCAGTCTCCCAAGTAGCTAGGATTATAGGTGTGAGCCACCAGTGCAGCAATATGCACATTTTTAACAGGTCTTGAGAAGCATTTCTGTCTTGAGGTTGAGCATTCTGTATAATTAAAAGTGGAACATGAATTCTGAGGTTGTTTCAGGATACTAATTTATGATAAAGAACATTGAGAAGTACTTCTGAATTTTATAGGATGCAGTCATTTTATCTTATGCTTTCTTAGAGATAATGGATACTTCATACTGCTTTTTATCTTACTGTTCTTTCTTAGTTGCTGATGTATATTCAGGATGAGTGGATTAGGAGAAAACTCCTTGGACCCACTGTCCACTGATTCACGAAAGCGCAAATTGCCATGTGATACTCCAGGACAGGGGTAAGTGATTTGCTTACAGTTGCTTCACCACAGCCTTTCTGGCTCCCCCTCTATTTTGTTTTGTGTAGTTTAAGGCTAACATTTCAATTTCATGTGCTTTACATTCTCTCGCAGATGAAAAAATTATTTTTACTTAAATGTGGTTTTGCTTTGTAGTAATACAGTCTTACGGATGAGATGGACATGCTTCTGATGTAAAAGAAACTTTGCTACCACTGATTCAGGTACTAGATAGAATATTGTAGGGATTAGGAATAGGTGACCAGTGTTACCACAAGTAAGAATCTTTGGTAGCCTTTAAAAATAGAAGTTCATATTTTGGAATTTGTGGTTTTATCATTTCCCTGAATGATAGCAGTTTGGAAATCAGAAATAAAATGCTATAACCTATGCAGCACTGCTCTTGTTTTTTAAAGTACTTGCCAAGATCACTAACACTGAATTTTAATGTGGTAGCTGAAACATGAAAACAATCTATAATTCATAAAACTGCCTTAATAATCACCTGTTTTCAGGAAATCATCAGAGACTACTTTGAGAACCTATATTCAAATAAATTTGAAAATCTAAAAGAAATGGACAGATTTCTAGATACATATGATCATCCAAAACTGAACCAAGAGGAAATTAATCACCTGAATAGACCTATAACACAAAATGAAATTGAAGCAGCAATCAAGAGTCTCCCCAAAAAGAAAAGTCCAGGACCTGATGGATTCTCTGCTGAATTCTATCAGACCTTTAAAGAAGAACTGATACCAACCCTCCTTAAACTGTTCCACGAAATAGAAAGGGAAGGAAAACTGCCAAACACATTTTATGAAGCCAGTATTACACTTATCCCAAAACCAGGCAAAGACACCTCCAAAAAGGAGAACTATAGGCCAATCTCCTTAATGAACATTGATGCAAAAATCCTCAACAAAATAATGGCAAATCGAATTCAACAACACATCAAAAAGATTATTCACCACGACCAGGTAGGCTTCATCCCAGGGATGCAGGGGTGGTTCAACATACGAAAATCAATAAACGTAATAAACCACATTAACAGAATCAAAGATAAAAACCACTTGATCATCTCAATAGATGCAGAAAAAGCCTTTGATAAGATCCAACATCATTTCATGATAAAAGCTCTAAGAAAACTAGGAATAGAAGGAAAGTTCCTCAACATTATAAAAGCTATATATGACAAACCTACAGCCAGCATTATACTTAATGGAGAAAAACTGAAACCATTCCCTCTAAAATCAGGAACCAGACAAGGATGCCCACTATCTCCACTCCTATTCAACATAGTACTGGAATTCCTAGCCAGAGCAATTAGGCAAGAAGAAGGAATAAAAGGAATACAAATAGGTAAAGAAACTGTCAAAATATCCCTATTTGCAGACGACATGATCCTATACCTTAAAGACCCAAAAAACTCTACTCAGAAGCTTCTAGACATCATCAATAGCTATAGCAAGGTAGCAGGATATAAAATCAACATAGAAAAATCATTAGCATTTCTATACACTAACAATGAGCAAACGGAAAAAGAATGTATGAAAACAATTCCATTTACAATAGCCTCAAAAAAATCAAATACCTAGGTGTAAACCTAACAAAAGATGTGAAAGACCTCTACAAGGAAAACTATACACTTCTGAAGAAAGAGATTGAGGAAGACTATAGAAAGTGGAGAGATCTCCCATGCTCATGGATTGGTAGAATCAACATAGTAAAAATGTCGATACTCCCCAAAGTAATCTACATGTTTAATGCAATTCCCATCAAAATTCCAATGACATTCATTAAAGAGATTGAAAAATCTACGTTAAATTTATATGGAAACACAAGAGGCCACGAATAGCCAAGGCAATACTCAGTCAAAAGAACAATGCAGGAGGTATCACAATACCTGACTTCAAACTATATTACAAAGCAATAACAATAAAAACAGCATGGTACTGGCACAAAAACAGACATGAAGACCAGTGGAACAGAATAGAGGATCCAGATATGAAGCCACACAACTATAACAACTTATCTTTGACAAAGGAGCTAAAAATATACGATGGAGAAAAGCAGCCTCTTCAACAAAAACTGCTGGGAAAACTGGTTAGCAGTCTGCAAAAAACTGAAACTAGATCCATGTATATCACCCTATACCAAGATTAACTCAAAATGGATCAAGGATCTTAATATCAGACCCCAAACTCTTAAGTTGATACAAGAAAGAGTAGGAAATACTCTGGAGTTAGTAGGTATAGGTAAGAACTTTCTCAATGAAACCCAGCAGCACAGCAACTAAGAGATAGCATAGATAAATGGGACCTCATAAAACTAAAAAGCTTCTGTTCATCAAAAGAAATGGTCTCTAAACTGAAGAGAACACCCACAGAGTGGGAGAAAATATTTGCCAATATACATCAGACAAAGGACTGATAACCAGAATATACAGGGAACTTAAAAAACTAAATTCTCCCAAAACTAATGAACCAATAAAGAAATGGGCAAGTGAACTAAACAGAACTTTCTCAAAAGAAGAAATTCAAATGGCCAAAAACACATGAAAAAATGCTCACCATCTCTAGCAATAAAGGAAATGCAAATTAAAACCACACTAAGATTCCACCTCACCCCTGTTAGAATAGCCATCATCAGCAACACCACCAACAACAGGTGTTGGCGAGGATGCGGGGAAAAAGGAACCCTCTTACACTGTTGGTGGGAATGTAGACTAGTACAACCACTCTGGAAAAAAATTTGGAGGCTACTTAAAAAGCTACATTGATCTACCATTTGATCCAGCAATACCACTCTTGGGGATATACCCAAAAGACTGTTACTCCAGAGGCACCTGCACATCCATGTTTATTGCGGCACTATTCACAATAGCCAAGTTATGGAAACAGCCAAGATGCCCCACACTGACGAATGGATTAAGAAAATGTGGTATCTATACACAATGGAATTTTATGCAGCCATGAAGAAGAACGAAATGTTATCATTCGCTGGTAAATGGATGGAATTGGAGAACATCATTCTGAGTGAGGTTAGCCTGGCCAAAAGACCAAAAATCGTATGTTCTCCCTCATATGTGGACATTAGATCAAGGGCAAACACAACAAGGGGATTGGACTATGAGCACATGATAAAAGCGAGAGCACACAAGGGAGGGGTGAGGATAGGTAAGACACCTAAAAAACTAGCTAGCATTTGTTGCCCTTAACGCAGAGAAACTAAAGCAGATACCTTAAAGTAACTGAGGCCAACAGGAAAAGGGGAACAGGTACTAGAGAAATGGTTAGATCAAAAAGAATTAACCTAGAAGGTAACACCCACGCACAGGAAATCAATGTGAGTCAATGCCCTGTATAGCTATCCTTATCTCAACCAGCAAAACCCCTTGTTCCTTCCTATTATTGCTTATACTCTCTCTTCAACAAAATTAGAGATAAGGGCAAAATAGTTTCTGCTGGGTATTGAGGCGGGGGGAGCGGGAGGGGGCGGAGTGGGTGGTAAGGGAGGGGGTGGGGGCAGGGGGGAGAAATGAACCAAGCCTTGTATGCACATATGAATAATAAAAGAAAAATGAAAAAAAAAATAATCACCTGTTTTTGTTACTTGTTAGAATTATTATTTTTTTTTGGTGGGACTTGGGTTTGAACTTGGTGCTTCATGTTTGCAAACCAGGCACTCTACTGCTTGAACCATACCTCCAGTCCATTTTGCTCTGGTTATCTTGGAGATGGGTCCTCATGAACTATTTGTCCGGGCTGGTCTTGAATCTTGATCCTCCTGATCTCAGCTTCCCAAGTAGCTAGAATTATAGGCGTGAGCCATCAGCGCCTGACTTTGTTAAGAATGATCTTTACCTTGTAGAAGTGAGCAACTATTTCCCCAATGAAGTAACTGAGGTTACCTTTTCTCCTGGTTAATAAAAAGTAGAATTGAACTTCTGTGTTGTACTGCTTCTCTGTTGTGATGTTTTGGTAGTTCCCATTGGCTGAGTTTAGTTTGTTCACACATAAAAGTAGTGGTCTTGTATAGGCACAGGTTCGCTAACACCTTTTTTGTAGTAGGCATATCATGACTTTTCTTCTCTCTTTTTAGTCTTACCTGCAGTGGTGAGAAGTGGAGACGGGAGCAGGAGAGTAAATATATTGAAGAATTGGCTGAACTAATATCTGCAAATCTTAGTGACATTGATAATTTCAATGTCAAACCTGATAAATGTGCAATTTTAAAGGAAACAGTGAGGCAGATACGGCAAATAAAAGAGCAAGGTAATACAAAATAAGAAAAACGCTAGTCTTTTTTTGCAAGAAACTTGTTATTACTGTGTTTACACCCCCTGCCACCGACGCTTTTTTTTTGGTGCTGGGGAATCACATGTAGGGCCTCATCTTGCAAGCATTTCTCTACCACTGAACTATACTTCAGTCCTCTGTGTTTACTTTTTGTGACCTTATTTAGGTAGGGACTGCAAATAACTGAGACTAGAATGTATGGGAATGAACCGATGAGTTGACCAGCTTTGCTTTTTAGGAAATAGTTAAACAGAATTGGAAGAAGGCCAGTGCTGTTTACCCTGTCAAATGTTAGCTTAGAGGTAGCCAGGAGCTCATACATTTAGTAGTGAGAAGATTTTAGGGTATGTTCTACCCTCCTGGGTGACTATGAAGATTAACACTTTAAAATTGTGGTATCATTATCTTACCAGGAAATGTTTTGTATACATGTACCTGGTTCTCTCTCTCTCTCTCTGTGTGTGTGTGTGTCTGTGTGTGTGTGTGTGTGTGTGTGTGTGTGTGTGAGAGAGAGAGAGAGTGAGTGAGTGAAGTATGGGTATCTTTGCATACATTTTGAGGACTACTTAAAGGAAGAGTTAATCTGTAATTGATATACATGGCATTGAGAGTATCACCTTCTGTGTCTTCAGGAAAAGCAATTTCCAATGATGATGATGTTCAGAAAGCTGATGTGTCATCTACAGGACAGGGAGTTATTGACAAAGACTCTTTAGGACCACTTTTACTTCAGGTATGTTAAAGATTATAACTGTTAAAAGTGTGTTGTCCTTGGTTGTATTATAAAGTGATAAAACCTTTTTTTGGTTAGGAAGTAATAACAAAGTACTTCCTTTTATGAGACAACTCAATATTGTGAATACAATTGTAAAATGTCCTTATAACTAATAAAAAGAAGTTGCAAACTGAGAAGGCACACATGCAAAAGTATAAAAATAAAGCATGAAAGGAAGGATAATTCGTAATTCCACAAATATAACCTGTATGTCCTAGAGGTAATAGTTAGGTATATTTTAGCCCAGACATTTTTGGTGCATTTTTTACATGATTGATCTATGGCACACTACCCATAATCTTTTTTTTTTTTTTTTTTGGGTGGTACTGAAGTTTGAATTCAGGGCGTTGTGCCTGTTAGGCAGGAGCTGAAGCTCTTTATAAAGCTTGTTTCACCTTGTTTTTCATCTAGTTTATTCCATTTGACTTTCAATTAACTTTAATTATTTTTGTACATTCTCATTAAGGAATAATACAAGCCAGCATGTATGGTGGTACGTGCCTGTAATCTAAGCCCTCAGGAGGCCAGTGAGACCTGTCACAATAAATAGCTTCATATTACATGGAAAAAGGGAAGGTTTTGTTGTGATTGTTGCTATTTTTTGGTGGTATTAGGATTTGAACTCAAGGCCTTGAAATTGCTAGGCAGCTGCTTTACTTCTTGAACCATGTCCCCCGCCATTTTGCTTTAGTTAGTTTCGAGATAGGTCTTGAGAGTTTTTGCCCAGACCCACCTGGATGGTAATCCTTTTGCTTTTGCCTCTGGTACAGCATGTCACACACCCACCTATTGGTTGACATGGTGTCTTACTAGTATTTTTCCTGGGACTGGCTTTGAACCATGATCATCCTGATCTCTACCCTCCTGAGTAGTTGGGATTATAGGTATGAGCCACTGCATCTGGTCTTTTTGTTTTCCATGTAGCTCAAGTTGGCTTGCTATGTAGCCCATTGTGACAAATGAGAGTTTGCTCTTTGTTTTTTTATTTTTATTTTTTTGTGGTCCTGAAATTTGAACTCGGAGTCTTACTCTTGCTAGGTGGGCACTCCACTTGAGCCACATCTCAAGCCCTTTTTTTGCTTTAGTTATTTTTTGAATAGGGTCTGGTGTTTCTGCTTTGGATTTGTGTTGGTTTGGATTGCCATCCTCCTATGCATGTTTAGCTGGGACAACAGGCACATAACCCAGCTTTTTATTGGTTGACATGGAGTCTTGCAAATGTTTTGCCCATGCTGGCCTTGAATTGTGCCCCCTGATTTCTGTCTCCACTAGTAGTTAGAATTGCAGGCTTGAACTACCATGCCCAGGTGGCTTGATTTCTTGATCCTCTTCCCTCAATCCCCTGAGTGCTGGGATTACAGCTCTGCACCCCCACACCTGGTTTGAGTCCATCCTCCCTCCCTCCTTCTCTCCCTCCTCTATTTTCTTTTTAAAATTAGCCTATGTTATATTCTCCTCTCTCCCTTTTCCCTCCTCTTCCCCCACTTCTCTCTCTCTCTCGTCTCTCTGTCTCTCTCTTGTCTCTGTCTCTCTTTTTGTCTCTCTGTCTCTCTATTTCTCTCCCCTCTCCCCTCTCCCCTCCTCTCTCTCCTCTCTCTCCTGGGGTTTGAACTCAGAATTTCACACTTGCTGGGCAAGCACTCTACTGCTTGAGCTACACCACGAGTCCATTTTGCTCTGGTTATTTTGGAGATGGGATCTCATGAACCGTTTGCCTGGGCTGGCCTCAATTGTGATTCTCCCCATTTCAGTCTCCTAAGTAACTAGGATTATAGGTGTGCCACTGGTGCTCAGCATCTGTCTTTCCTTTTTTTTTGATACTGGGAATTAAATACAGGGCCTCATGCATGCTGGGAAGTGGTCTACCCCTTGAGCTACATCTTCCAACCTTTTTCTTTGGCTTTTCTTATTTTTAAAAGCCCCTCTGAAAATACAGTTCTTAAAAAATTAGGTTAGACATTCAACTTTTATGCTGACTATATTTGTCTTTTTTAAAGTTATTTATTCTTGTCATATACCCTGTAATAGTGATGCTAATGTTAGTAGAAATGGTGACTTATACTTATTTGTAGTATTGTTTAATCAACAGTGTATTTCATGTTGCATTTATTACTAGGCTATTGTCTAAGTCTGCTAAGGCTGAGAATAAGATACAGTCTGGGTGGCTTATACAACCGTATTCATTTCTTATGGTTTTGGAAGCTGAAAGGCCAAGATCAAGATGTCAGCAGTATTGGTTTCTCCTGAGTTGCCTGTCCTTGGTTTGTCACTGTGTTTTCATGTAGCCATGGAGCCATGTTCTCCATGAATGCAATCCCTGGTGTCTTTTTCACCTCTTTTTATAAGGACACTATGGTTATTGGATTAGGGTCCTACCTTTATGATATTTTATCCTAAATTACCTCCTTAAAGGCCTTATCTCCACTTTGAGGGTAAGGACTTCAACATACACATTTTTCTCCTCACAAGGGTAATAGAGTTTGGTCTATAACAGCCTATGTTAACCTGTCCCATTTTAGGCATTGGATGGTTTCTTGTTCGTGGTGAATAGAGATGGAAACATCGTATTTGTATCAGAAAATGTTGCACAGTATCTACAATATAAGCAGGAAGAGCTCGTCAATACAAGTGTCTACACTATCTTGCATGAAGAGGACAGAAAGGATTTTCTTAAAAACTTACCGAAATCTACAGGTATGCTCTCTTTTTTGAGACAGTGTCTCATTTTCTAGCCCAGGCTGGTCTTGAACTAATGATCCTCCTGCCTTTCTCTACCTCTTGAGTGCTGAGCTTACAGGTGTGTGTCAGTTCATGCAGCTACTGGTAGGCTCTTAATATATATTTTATAAGTATGTTTAAAAATTTTCTGTTGATTATTTATTAGAAAATTAAATGTATTTTGTTTTAGGAAACTACCTTGTATAGAAAAGTAAGGGTTGGTGGCAAATTTTCAATATGGTCTCAGCAAATTTAAAAATTTGGCATACAGTTCACGGGGCCAAAATACACAGTGAGATTTCTGTTGAACTAAAATCATTCATATATTTTATATACTGTCATTCTGAAATGTTCGTGTATGTATTACAGTGGGAAACATAAATAATGAGAAAGTATACCTTGAATTCTTTTTGTTGTTGTCATTGAGACAGAGTCTTACTCTGTTCCCAGGCCAGTCTTTAACTCTAGGGCTTACATGATCCTCCTGCCTTAGTCAGCCTTTTCAACAGCTGGAACTATAGTCATGTGCCACGACACCTGGCTTGTAGTGTGACTTCTTGATGATGATAAGCTTAGAGTTAGTTACCATATTTGTAAAAAGTTATTTCAATTTGCTTTCAAAAGTTAATGGAGTTTCCTGGACAAATGAGACCCAGAGACAGAAAAGTCACACATTTAATTGTCGTATGTTGATGAAAACAACACGTGATATTTTGGAAGACATGAACACCAGTCCTGAAATTCGCCAGAGATACGAAACAATGCAGTGCTTTGCTCTGTCTCAGCCACGCGCCATGATGGAGGAAGGGGAAGGTAAGAGCAACCATGTTTGTGTTGCTGATGAAACATGCAGCTACCAAACTTGTCTGACTTCATCATTGTGACTCTTCTTACTGACATCTGTGTCCTTGCTTACCTGTTGAACAGATATATCAAAAGGAAATGTAATCCTTATCTTACGAAATTTCTGTTGTAGATTTGCAGTCCTGTATGATCTGTGTGGCACGCCGTATTACTACTGGAGAAAGAGCTTTTCCGTCAAATCCTGAGAGCTTTATTACCAGGCATGATCTTTCAGGTAGAAACTGTGTGTGTGTACATCTTCACTTTAGAAGTTGTTGTAAAGTTCACTATTTTCTGCTGTCTGTGCTATTATTTGAGTATCTATACCCAGTGTGATGAATGTTTTATGTATTATGACTTGTATTTCTTATACAGCTGTAAAAGAATTTCACTAAAACCCTTGGCATTTGAATTGAGTATATTTGGCACTTAAAATTCTCCCAAATAAACAAATTAAAAAACGAATGTAGTGGCACCTGGCCTTTTCTTCAAATAACATTTTGTATCAGAATTAATATTTCTTTTCTGTAACTTCTAACCCATTTATTACAAAGAAATGTTTTCAAAAATATAGGTTATTTAATGAGAATTTATAAGAGTAATTCTTGACATCAGTGTTAACTTCAGTCTTGGTCTGCTATTTTTAGACCACAGGAATCAAGAATTAAACATGTTGTAGTTGAGCCTGGTGTTGTGGTACACACAGTCCTAGCACTTGGTAGGCTGAGGCAGGAGGATACATAGCCACTGTCTGAAAAAGACAAAAAAAGAAGAAAAGACATTACAGTTGATAAGACACACTGATAAGTTAAACGTGGTGGCAGTATTACCCATACTCATCATCAGTGTCAGTCTGTGATCTTCTAATGGTGATGCCAAAGGTTTATCACATATGCTCATCATCCAAGATCATCACTAACAAAAGAATTTGCAGCCAGGTCTGCTTGACTTGAAGCCTATACTCTTGACTTTGTGTAATATGTGACTTTATATACAATGTGAATGCTTGTAAGTGATACGATAAAATGGAGTTGTTTTAAACTAAAAAAACAAAACACAGCTATACTTACTACAGTGGTGTGAGTGTGTAGATAACATGTATGTAATATGTATACATTATATTTCATGAAAATAGCTATTTTCACAGTCATGTCATGCTCAGGTACTGTCTTGAGGTTCTTTGAGATTAGTTTACATAAATGGAAAAAGGAGCAGGAAAGTTCTTGTATTTTGAATTGTCAGTCTGTTTACATTGATGGTTATTACTTTATATCTGAAAATCTTTACAGTTACTTGCCTTCCAATAAACATGGTAATGGGAATTTTATCTTTCAGAGTGGGTCTCTCTTTTCACATCTCTTATGAGTTGGCATTTTTAAGTTTTTCTAGATTACATTGCTTTACATTGTCATTGAGCAGTTAAGTGACATTCATCTTAAATCATCTCATCCAGTAGTTTCCTTTATTTCAAAACCAGTACTTGTTCATTATAAGTTAGAAGTTAGCAAACTAGAAAAATAAAATACTTTTCTCTGATTAATACTATTTAAGACTGAGAGCCATCTTACCAAAGTTATAGTTGGTGGCTTCCAGTTGTCTTTTTTTACAGGTTTGTTGTATTCAACACTACTTTCTTTGGATGCTGGAGAGATTTTGCCCTCTGTTGCTGAAGTGTTTCATTCAATGAATATTTTCTAAGCATCTGGTTTCTGTGTGACACATGGCTCAGGGCTAATCTAGTGGTAGTGAGGACAGATCTTAACGTGTGTACACAGTGCACAGGTGTTTACTCTTTTCTGGAATGCATTTGTTCTTTCTCCTTAGTAGTTTATTCCATTAGTAAGTTTTAAAAAAAATTCACCACAAGTAAAAACTTTGGATTTTGGGCTGTTGAGGTAGCTCAACATGTGCCTGCCAGCATGCACAAGCTCTAGTTCCATGCCCAGCATTGAACTTTAAAACAGATTCTTGGACTGGCTTATCTCTATCAGCTCATTCCACGTCAGCACCTTTCTTGTATTCTGAAGACATTTGTTTTTCCCCCTGCCCACCCCCTGGACCCCTCCACCTGGTGCCAGGGATCAGTTCAGGTCCTTGTACATATTAGGCAAGTACTCTACCACTGAGCCACATCCTCAGGCCACCCCCCGCCCTTCCCATCCTTCAGTAGCTTTTCCAGAGCCATTTTTCAGTATGAGTCTCCACACATTTTCTCAGTCCAAACTTGGTTTTGTTTAACTTTTTTTTTTTTTTTTTGTGGTACTGGGGTTTAAACTCAGGGCCTCATGCTTGCTAGGCAGGCAATCTACCACTTGAGCCACTCCACCAGCTCTTATCGTTTTGAGTATTTTTGAAATAGGGTCTCTCGAACTAAGTGCCCAGGGCTGGCTTTGAATCACGATCCTCCTGAGTATCTAGGACTATAGGTGCCCAGCTTTTCAGCATTTCACTGTTCTAACAAACATAGAGAGGATGAATGAATTGGTTGGTCTCTATTAATCTGGGTGGGATCAATTTATTAACTGCCACTTTCAAGTCATTTGTGCCTCTTGGGTCATGACTCCCATCATATTCAGGATTCGGTAGACCTGGTGGTGCTATGTAAGAGGTCTTCTGGATCTGAGTACTGCATTTTCCAGTGAAACCTAACACTGAACAGACCAGTAACTATTGACAGTCTTGACATCAACATGAACTTCAGTAATGATCTGCCAATTTTTGACCATAGAACACATTTTGTTTCAAGCATAATCATGCCATGGATTGGTCACACAGTTTTTGGCCTGTACATAATTAGCATGAATTTAAATATAGCTTCATTTTGCAGGCCAGTAAGGATCCCTTCAAAAACACAAATCCTCTTGAGAGCTTCCGTGCCTTTTTTAGGCATGCCTCCTCCTTAATGCTGGCATGTCGCCACAAATCTGGAAGCTTACCAGATCTGTTAAAGGGTTTTTATAGACCTCACCGTAAGCCCCTTCCTGAGTCAGTGGATGGTCCTGAAAGTTCCAACCCTGTAATCACTTGGGCATTCTGGTGACCAGTCCCACCCTGAGGCTGTCTAGGAGTACTACCCTAAATCACCTCATTGGAACAAACACAGATGTGGTTAGAGAGGATAGTTATGAATCAGTAAGAGATACTCTTATTAGGAAACTCCAAGGGTTTTAGGAGTTCTGTGCCAGGAACTAGACAAAGACAAGCACATTATTGTATTCACAGCAGAACATGTAGCAACTATGAGAGCATCTTAGAAGACTAGGTCTATTTCTTAAAATTTTTTTTGTGGTACTGAGGCTTGAACTCAGGGCCTACACCTTGAGTCACTCCACCAGCCCTATTTGTGACAGGTTTTTTGAGATAGGGTCTCACAAACGGTTTGCCTGGGCTGGCTTCGAACCATGATCCTCCTGATCTCTGCCTCCTGAGTAGCTAGGATTATAGGCGTGAGCCACTGGTGCTCGGCTAGGACTCTGTCCTTAAGGAGGAAAGACAGACAACAAATTTGGACCAGAGAAGGCAGAGTAAAGATTTAAGATCTTTTATTTAATTCTCCACTGCTAAGTCATGGGTAGGCAGCAGTAAATACTTTTGGGCAGGTTTTAAACCTTTTTATTTTCTGTTTAATAGGAAAAGTCGTCAATATAGATACAAATTCTCTAAGATCCTCCATGAGGCCTGGCTTTGAAGATATAATCCGAAGGTGTATCCAGAGGTTTTTTAGTCTTAATGATGGGCAGTCTTGGTCCCAGAAACGTCACTATCAAGAAGGTAAAGACATTTGTGGAGTTGATTCTGGTCTTGATAGTTGCTGTGTTGGGTATTCTTAAAGCATTAACTGTATACATGTGACCACGGTTATTACCTTGTTGGGTGTAGGGGAGGAAAATGATTTTTTTTTTTTTTTGAGGTACTGGGGCTTGAATTCAGGGACTTAACTTGAGCCACTCTACCAGCAATATTTTTGTGAAGGTTTTTTTCGAGATAGGGTCTCGCAAACTATTTGCCTGGGCTGGCCTAGAACTGCAGTCCTCCTAATCTCTGCCTCCTGAGTAGGTAGGATTCTTACAGGCATGAGCCACCGGTGCCTGGCGGAAAATGATTCTTGAGCATGCTTGTTTTATAATTTTGGTGAAGTTTCAGTTTTTCATATGGTTTTAAAAAATGGTGCTTGAAATATAATTCCTTTTTTTCCTCTCCGTATATGTATTTATTTTGCAAATTAATAGTTTATTTTCCCCAACAGCTTACATTCACGGCCATGCAGAAACCCCAGTGTATCGGTTCTCCTTGGCTGATGGAACTATAGTGACTGCACAGACAAAAAGCAAACTCTTCCGAAATCCTGTAACAAATGATCGTCACGGCTTTGTCTCAACCCACTTTCTTCAGAGGTAATGATAAGTTAGGGTGCATTCATGTTACACACAACATTAGTGTAAAAATGGAAAACAGTTACTGAGGAAAAAGCAGAAAGGTATGGAATTTGGTGACTCTAATTGAGATTCCTAGATTATGTTTTCGTTAAGCTTATATTTTTGCTTAAAAATATTCATCAAATAATTACTTCCTGGAGGAGCCAAGGAATGGGAAGGCTGTGGGGAATAAAAGAACATACAAAATCTGGTTACCTCCATTAACTCTCATTTCTAATGATATTTTGCTTTTAGGGACTGAATTTAAAATTTGATCATACACTTTAAAAATAAGTGAAATTAACTTTTGGTATTGGTAAATAAAAAATAGGTGAAGGAAGATATTCACCCATTGATTATTTTGAGTAATTTGCACATATTTCCAGGTTAAGCCCTAGACATCTGGCAACTCTAGTATTGCCTTGCTGAGATTCCAGGTAACAGGGCTATTGGTCCTGCACGTGCTGTGGTGGTGTCACTCATTTAGATTCTCTAGCCTGTTAAAAATGTTATCATAGTGATCATTTATGTTAATTCAGTGATCAGTTCCTAAATTGAGTTTGTTACTAGGTATTGGAGTGGCACCTAAAAGTTCTATCCCTGGACAATTACTTTGCTCCTCCCCTCCCTTTCCCTCTCATCCCCTTTGCTTTCTTGCCCCAAATGTGACTAAGAGCTTTGATGCATGCCTGTAATTTTTTTAATTAAAAGTTTGATACTCTGTTTCTTTGCAGAGAACAGAATGGGTATAGACCAAACTCAAATCCTGTAGGACAAGGCATTCGACCTCCTGCAGGTGGATGCAGCAGTTCCATAGGTGGCATGAGTATGTCCCCAAGCCAAAGCTTACAGATGCTGACCAGCAGGTCCTATGGCTTGGCAGATCCCAGCACCACAGGGCAGATGAGTGGAGCTAGGTATGGGGCTTCCAGTAACATAGCTTCACTGACTACTGGGCCAGGCATACAGTCACCGTCTTCCTACCAGAACAACAACTATGGACTGAACATGAGTAGCCCCCCACATGGCAGTCCTGGTCTTGGCTCCAACCAGCAGAATATCATGATTTCACCTCGTAATCGTGGGAGCCCAAAGATGACCTCACATCAGTTTTCTCCTGGTGCAGGTATTCATGTTAGCACTTCTTTTATGCTTTCTTTTCATAATTACTAATTCTCATAGAGTTCATTAATTTTTATAATAGAAACTTTGAAATAGTGTTTTTATAGTGTCTGATAGTCTAATTCTTTTCTAAATTTTTCCCTAAATCTAGGTGTGCACTCTCCCATGGGAACTTCTGGCAGTACTGGGAGCCACAGCTTTTCCAGCAGCTCTCTCAGTGCCCTGCAAGCCATCAGTGAGGGGGTGGGGACGTCTCTTTTATCTACTCTGTCTTCACCAGGCCCCAAATTGGATAATTCTCCCAGTATGAATATAACCCAGCCAGGTAAAGTGAGCAGTCAGGAATCCAAGAGTCCCCTAGGCTTGTACTGTGATCAGAATCCAGTGGAGAGTTCAGGGTGTCAGTCAAATAGCAGAGATCACCTCAGTGACAAAGAAAACAAGGAGAGCAGTGGTGAGGGGTCAGAGAATCAGAGGGGTCCTTTGGAAAGCAAAGGTCATAAAAAATTACTGCAGTTACTCACCTGCTCTTCTGATGACCGAGGTCATTCCTCCTTGACCAATTCCCCCTTGGATTCAAGTTGTAAAGACTCTTCTGTGAGTGTCACCAGCCCCTCTGGAGTCTCCTCCTCAACATCCGGGGGAGTGTCCTCTACATCCAACGTGCATGGGTCACTGTTACAAGAGAAGCATCGGATTTTGCACAAGTTGCTGCAGAATGGGAATTCACCAGCTGAAGTAGCCAAGATTACTGCAGAAGCCACTGGGAAAGACACCAGCAGCACAGCTTCGTGTGGTGAAGGAAGTGTGAAGCAGGAGCAGCTAAGTCCTAAGAAGAAGGAAAATAATGCACTTCTTAGATATCTGCTGGACAGGGATGATCCTAGTGATGCACTCTCTAAGGAACTACAGCCCCAAGTGGAAGGGATCGATGGGAAAATCAGTCAGTGCAGCAGTGCCACCATTCCTAGCTCGAGTCAAGAGAAAGACTCTAAAGTTAAGACAGAAACAAACGAAGAGGTGAATTGTTTTGCATCATTTCTGTGTTAGAAAGATAATCTATTATATACAAATTCTTATTTATTTACTGATTTACTGATTTTGGTGGGATTGAGGTTTGAACTCAGGGCTTCACTCTTGCACAGCATGAGCTCTACCATTTGAACCACACCTCCAGTCCATTTCACCTTGGTTATTTTGGAGATGTGACCTTGGGAACTGTTTGCCCAGGCTGGTCTGGATCACTGATCCTCCTGATCTCAGCCTCCTAGGTAGCTAGGATCATAGGACTGAGCCACTGGTGCTTAGCAAAATTTTTATTTTTTAATGTAAGGTTTATGGTTTGTTTAAGGTTAGCTAATTTTTCTTGAGAGGGGAGAGGAAGCAGTATTGGGATTTGAACTGTTCTACCACTTGAATCATGCCCCCAGTTCTTTTTTCAGATAGAGTCTGACACTTTTGCCCAGCACAGCCTTGAACAGTGATCCTCTTGTGTCTGCCTGCCATGCATGGCTTGCTTTTTTGCGATAGGGTCTCTCTGAGTTTTGGCTGGGTCAGCATTGAACCTTGGTCTCCTTATCTCTGCCTCCCTAGGAACTGGGATTACAGACATGAGCCACCATGCCCAGCAAAATTAAGTTAATCTTTTTGGTATCAGTAAAGTGTTATGATGTAATTTAGAAATATCACATGTGTACCTTCTAAAATGTACCTATTAAAAAAAATTCTTTTTTGTTCTTGCCTTGTTTTTTGAGACAGGATTTCACTATGTAGCCCAGCCTGGCATTCCTCCTGTCAGCTTCCCAAATGTTGAGATTACAGCTGTCCACTATGCCTGGCTACATTTTTTTTTTTTAAATGGTCCTAGGGATTGAACTCAGAGCCTCATACTTGGTAGATAAGTACTCGACCATTTGAACTAGACCCCCAAACCCCGGCTTAACAACTCTTTTTAGTGGCCAGTTTGAAATTTTTTCATGGAAATGTTTATTGTTGGAATGAGCAGATTGGTATGGTAGAAATAGTCAGGAAAAAAGAAAATGTGAATTAAGCAATATAATTTTGATTTTTACCTTATAATCAGGTTTCATGTATCCAGTCACATTCTATGTAAGAATTTCCAAACTCTTTGAGGAACACCACTTTAGGAGTTGTATTATACACCTGAGCAAATGAAAGGCTTGGGTGAGGGTATGGATTTTTAATTTTTATTTTTTTGGGCACTACTGGGTTTTGATTTAAGGCTTTTCACTTGCACTCTACCAGTTGAGCTATTAGAGATAGGGTCTCTCGGTATAGCTCAGGCTGGTCTGAAACTTGCTCTGTAGCCTAGGCTGGCCTAGAACTCTAGATCCTCCTGCCTCAGCCTACCAAGTGTTGGGTTTATAGACATGTGCCACCAGGCCTGGCTTCATGGTGTGGATTTAACTTTGTTTAATCTAGTGTTTGCCATATTTATAGAGCAAATAGAGCGTGCCTGTGAACGTCTTGTATAGCACCAGTTTGTCACTTGTTTGTAGAAGGTATATATAAATGCAGATTTCTGCTAGCTAATAATGATTCCTTTGCCTGGTGACTGTTAGCTGGAAAATATTTTACAGTTTGAGAATGAAATGGCTAGTGTAAATGGAAAAAAAAGTGCCATTTGAAAGTACCAAATCCAGTGACGTGTCCCAGTGCTTTAAAGCTGTTTGTGCTTGAGGAAGATGAGGGATGGGGTCATAAGAAACCAGCCTACAAGTGGGGCATTCTTATTTTAATTAATCTCATTTCGTATGTTCACTTATGAATGTGTTTATCTCTGATCTCTAGAATTGCACACAGGTTAATCTTTAAAACTTTATTTTCAGGGATCTGGAGACTTGGATAATCTAGATGCTATTCTTGGCGACCTAACTGGCTCTGACTTTTACAGTAATTCTGTATCCACAAATGGCAGTCATTTGGGGACCAAGCAACAGATATTTCAAGGAACTAATTCTCTGGGTAAGGAAGAATTAAATTTTGCTTTTTTGAAATTTTCCTGCATATGCATATATATTCTTAAACTAAGACTGGACATTATAGCTAGCATTTGTAACTTCTGAGCACATACTGCCTCTCAGTTTCCTATATTAATTAGTAATGCATGTGTTTTGAAAAGCTTTTTGTGTATTTTTTTCTTTCTTTTAATTCCTATTTCTCACAAATAACACCAGTAACCATGGCACTTCTGTAATCGATATGAGTAGAACTAGGTGCTAGAGCATATATTTTTATTAGTCACAAAGAATTGAGTTAGAAAACCCAAACTATAGATTAAAACCTGTTCTTTGGTGCTTAAACAATCTTATTATTTAACCATGAGCCCGTTCTTCATTGGTGGTTTTGTTTTTTACCTAAGCTCTCTTCTATTGCAATATGTTTACTCATTTATCATTTTTTTCCCCCTTTTTTGGTGGAACTGGTGTTTGAACTCAGGGGTTTACACTTGCAAAGCAGACGCTTTTCCACTTGAGGCATACCTACTGTCCATTTTGGAGATGGGGTCTGAGCTGTTTGCCCTGGCTGGCTTCAAACCACAATCCTCCCGATCTTTGCCTCTCAAGTAGCTAGGGTTATGGCCACCAGTGCCTGGCTCATTTATCATTTTAAACAAAAGTATATTGTGTGTGTCAGTTGAAAAGGAATAATTTACAATTATCCAAGATTATAGTTACTGATTTTTAGTTGCATTGTTTCCTAAGTTGAAATGAATATACTTAAGTCCACATGTGGAAGAATCTTCAGGAGTTTGAAACAGTGGTAAATTTTTCTTCCCTGAGATTGTTTCTACTTTATTTGGAACATGGTGTTTCCTCCTTCCCTCTTTCCTTTCCTTTCCCCCCCTTTTTTTTGGCATGGTGTTTATTTTTTCAAGGAAGACGGTCTTCTCTTCCCTTCCTCACCCTCTCATCTTTTTTAATTTTAATTTTTTGGTGGTACTGGGTACTCAGGGTCTCACGGTTGCTACACAGGCACTCTCCCACTTGAGCCACTCTGCCAGCCCTTTTTGTAAAGATAGGGTCTCGCAAGATACTTGCCTAGGCTGGCTTCAAACCGTGATCTTCCTGATCTCTGCCTCTTGAGTAGGTAGGATTATAGGCCTGAGCCACCAGCACCTGGCTACCCTTTTCTTTTTTGTAGTGCTGGGGATCAAACTTAGGATCTCCTGTATGCAAAACATGCTCTGCCACTGTGCTACCCTCACCACTCAGCCCAATGTATTTTTCAATATGAAGTGAAACAGTAGCCCAGCACTTCAGCCAACACTGAGAGTATTGTTCCAACTTTATTTGGAATATGGGGCTTTTCTTCCCTTTTTGCCTTAGTCTTTAATTTGTAAAGAAAGGCAGTGTTTGTCTTTGTCAGAAAGACATTCTTATATGGGGAATGACAGTGTTTATGTCTTGTATTTGATAATTTAAGTATTGAATCATCAAGGGATATTTATGTATTGTGCTTCTATGTTTTCAACAGGTTTGAGAAGTCCACAGCCTGTCCAGTCCATTCGTCCTCCATATAACCGAGCAGTGTCTCTAGATAGCCCTGTTTCTGTTGGCTCAAATCCTCCAGTAAAGACTGTCAGCGCTTTCCCCATGTTACCAAAGCAATCCATGTTGGGTGGGAATCCACGAATGTTAGATAGTCAGGAAAGTTATGGCTGCAATATGGGTAGGTTGTTTCTAATGAGTATGTATGATTAAAAATTTCTTTGGGAAAAGCAAATTTTAAATACTTAAAGCCATTTAAATAATTTGGATTAAGTAACAAGTTTTCCATATCATTAGCATAATGTTTTTTTCATGAGTATAGTTCATTTATTCTGTGTATTGGTTATTTAAACTCTTAAAGAATCTTTTGGTTTAGGACATTTTTCTATATCTAAAATGAATATGTGGGAAGAATAGCCTATCATAACTGTCTTCATAACTGACTAGCCCCCATCTTAGGGTGACAAAGTGCTTTGTCAAAGCCACTGTTTTGTGTAATGGCTGTACCTACATGATATAGGATTTTATTATGCGATGGGAAAGACTAATCACTTCTGCCTGTTTTAGGAGGACCAAACAGAAATGTGACTGTGAACCAGACTCCTTCCTCAGGAGATTGGGGCTTACCAAACTCAAAGGTCAGCAAAATGGAACCTATGAGTTCAAATTCCATGGGAAGACCAGGAGGTGATTACAGTGCTTCTTTACCTAGACCTGCAGTGGGGGGCTCTATGCCCACCTTGCCTCTTCGGTCTAATAGCATACCAGGTACAAGACCAATGTTGCAGCAGCAGCAGATACTTCAAATGAGTAAGTGTCTTTTTCAATTAAAGGAAAAAGATGTTTCAGGGTAGTTTTCACCATTGATTAATTTGAAAATTTGCTTATTTCTTTTTGTTCTGCCAGGGCCTGCTGAGATTCCCATGGGAATAGGGGTCAGTCTCTATGGCCAACCAGCACCATCTGCTCAACCAGGTTCCTGGCCAGATGGCATGTTGTCCATGGAACAAGGACCTCACGGGACGCAAAATAGGTGGGACTTTATTTTGTGACTATAGAAAATGTAAACATTGGATTTAGAAGAGTCAGAACAGGAATAATCCCCAAAGAGAATGTGACAACTTCTTTATAATTGAGGCACTTCCTTGCCCTCTGATGAGGCAGTAAGCAGAGGCATTCACAGGGAGGAGTTAGAACCATCTGTGATCAGACTTCTGAGAACTTTTCTATGAGATGACTGTCTTTCATAATGATGATCTCATGAGGAGGGGAATAAATTGTAACAGTTCGATAAGATAAATACATATTCCCACTGGTTTTATCAATGGTATTCAGAAGGTAAGCCTGTTTTTCTGAAAACAATTAAAAATAATTATTTTAAAACATTTTAGTGATGATAGTGAAAGTAAACTATTGTATCCTTTTCTGTTTTTTTTTTTTTCTTTTTTTTGTAAAAAGAAGGATTATGGGTTTAGGTCTGTATTTTTATTTAATTTAGTCACTTATTTACATGGAAGAGGCCACTGTCAATTTCAGCACTAACCCCAAGTCTATAATAAATTAAGCAAAGAAAAAAATGGATTGATCGAGTAGATAGTATGTAGCTACATGAGTTTATTAACTTAAAATGCTTCTCTACATAGTAGAGAGCAAATAGCTTCAAGGGCACAACTTTTTGAGGCAAGATAAATGTATAGTTTCATTTCTTTCATGTGTTGGAGAAATGTGGCACCTTGCTGTGGGTATGTGTATAGTTTATATTATACCATTAATACAAGCTCTGTGGGCCAAGTGTAACAAAAGTTTTGTTGGCAGTCTTCCAGATTGCAGTTATTCAGTGTTTCTACCCTTTTGTTCTTTTGTTGATTTCTATAATTTTCAGGTATCATGACTACTGTCACTTAGCTTTATTTTTGTTTTAAGAATAGTGCCCTTTCCCATTCTTCCCATCTTCAATCTCTGTATCGCCTCAAATACGTAGGATTTGGTGCTTACTATTTAGCATTGGGATTGAAGATATAAGATGGCCTGGTGAAATTTTCAGATTGTGGGTCTTAATGTAAATTTTTGCCATTTGTTATTCTTTGCTGGTTTGTTTATTATTTATATTTATAGTATGTGAGTTATTATTGCACATTAAAAATATATATATACCCAGCTGGGTGCTGGTGGCTCATTCGTATAATCCTAACTACTTGGGAGGCTGAGGTTGGGAGGATGGAGTTTTGAGGCCAGGCTGGGTAAATAGTTTGTGAAATCCCATCTCCAAAATAACCAGAGCACAATGTTCTGGAGATGTGGCTCCAAGCAGTAGAGTACCTGCTTTGGAATTGCAAAGCCCTGAGTTCAAGCCCCCCCCCCCCAAAAAAAAAAACCAAACCAAACCAAAAAACATCCAGAGAGGGAGGCAGGGAGGGGAGAGGAAGGGGAGGGAGAAGGAGAATGCAAATATGGTTATTATGATCTATCTTTTCTTTTTTTTCTTTCAAAAAGCTAAAAACTTTTTTTTCCTCGCTTTTTTGTGGTTCTGGGGATTGAACCCAGGGACTCATGAGTGCTAGACAAGCCCTGTTGCCTGAATTACATTCGCAGCACAGAACCATGAAAACTGATTGCAAGCCTCTTTCCAGGCCTCTTCTTAGGAATTCCTTGGATGATCTCCTTGGGCCACCCTCTAACCCAGAAGGCCAGAGTGATGAAAGAGCATTGTTGGACCAGTTGCACACACTCCTGAGTAATACAGATGCCACAGGCCTGGAGGAAATTGACAGAGCTTTGGGAATCCCTGAGCTTGTAAATCAGGTATGTTGCATTAGCATGGAAATAGGAGTGTGTGCCCACGACTAGGTGTGTGCATGGGCATGTTGGCATGTTCATGAAGTCAGACACAAGAGGGGCTGTAGGTGTGTCTTTCTTATTTAGAAAATATACTTTATGATTGTGATATTACTTATGTCAGCCTATTTTTATGAAGTTGTTACATTTTAGGCAACTTTAGAAATGATCAGTGAAATTACTATGTAGATTCCTCTTACAGTTTTTTATTAGCATATAATAGTTGAGGGGAGATACATTGTGACATTTACTTAGGCTATGTAGATTTTTTTTTTTGTGGTGGTATTGGAGTTTGAACTCAGGGCCTCATGCTTATTAGGGAGATGCTTTACCCCTTGAGTCACTCTGCCAGCCCATTATATAGATTCTTAAATGCTCTTTTTGAGTTTTTTGTAACTACTTTTCTTGACTATTTAGCTAACCAGAACGTCCCAATGTTATCTCCTGCTCCTAGTTATACACCCAACTTTATGAAAATATGTTCATTTACACATGTGTTTCTGAAACATGCATTTTGTAGTGGCTGCTTTTATTTAAAGGGTGTGTGTCTCTTGGGGATATACCCAAAAGACTATGACACAGGTTACTCCAGAGGCACCTGCACACCCATGTTTACTGCGGCACTATTCACAATAGCCAAGTTATGGAAACAGCCAAGATGCCCCAGCACTGACGAGTGGATTAAGAAAATGTGGTATCTATACACAATGGAATTTTATGCAGCCATGAAGAAGAACGAAATGTTATCATTCGCTGGTAAATGGATGGAATTGGAGAACATCATTCTGAGTGAGGTTAGCCTGGCCCAAAAGACCAAAAATCGTATGTTCTCCCTCATATGTGGACATTAGATCAAGGGCAAACACAACAAGGGGATTGGACTTTGAGCACATGATAAAAGCGAGAGCACACAAGGGAGGGGTGAGGATAGGTAAGACACCTAAAAAACTAGATAGCATTTGTTGCCCTTAACGCAGAGAAACTAAAGCAGATACCTTAAAAGCAACTGAGGCCAATAGGAAAAGGGGACCAGGAACTAGAGAAAAGGTTAGATCAAAAAGAATTAACCTAGAAGGTAACACCCACGCACAGGAAATCAATGCGAGTCAATGCCCTGTATAGCTATCCTTATCTCAACCAGCCAAAACCCTTGTTCCTTCCTATTATTGCTTATACTCTCTCTACAACAAAATTAGAGATAAGGGTAAAATAGTTTCTGCTGGGTATTGGGGGGGGGAGCGGGAGGGGGCGGAGTGGGTGGTAAGGGAGGGGGTGGGGGCAGGGGGGAGAAATGAACCAAGCCTTGTATGCACATATGAATAATAAAACAATAAAAAACAATAATAAAAATAAAGGGTATGTGTGGGCCAGGTGCTGGTGGCTCACGCCTGTAATCCTAGCTACTCAGGAGGCTGAGATCAGGAGGATCACGGTTTGAAGCCATATTGGGGCAAATAGTTACATAGTTCTTGAGACCCTATCTTGAAAATAGCCATCACAAAACAGGGCTGGAGAGTGGCTCAAGTGGTAGAGTGCCTGCCTAGCAAGCATGAGGCCCTGAGTTCAAACCTAGTACCACCAAAGAAAAAGGATGCGTGTATGTCAGAATTGTATAGGTCTGTGCATTGGGCAATAACTAGGAGTGGCTGAGGGGGTTCTCGGTCGTTGTTGGGGAGGCAGACGTACATAAGGAATTGCAGGGCAGCGTTGGAAGCACTATCACAGAACTTAGGAAGAATGAATGGGAAACACTGAGCAGTCCCGATACACATTCTAGGGGTGCCAGTGACAGCTGACCCTGGCACTTCAGAGAGTGTTGAACTTGGTCTGGATGTGTATGAGGAATACACAGAGACCAAGAAGCTTGAACTTTCTTTTAAAGTGGTAATTTTAAGGTGGAAACTGCTTTCTTTGTACTGCTGATAAAAGTTAGCAGTCAGTATATAAAATTCTGATGATTTATGAAAGTATATAAAGTTTTAAAAAACTTCTGATAGTGGCACAGGGGGAGTTATTAATAACTTGTTAGCATATAATGCTTTCAGATTAAAAAATATGTAAATTTTCATGAGAGAAACTTGAGTGTGTGTATATTTAAACTGGAGACTTTTAGAAACACTTTTATAACCAGTTTTACCATATGAAAGTCATCATTGTCAGTCATCTTTTTGTTTAGTATATATCCAGTTTTTAAAAAAATTGTCTCACCCTGTGTTTCCCCTTTTACGATATGGAACCAGACACACAGGCACAGGGCCTGGGCTGAGGTGTATATGGGGTAGGTTTACTTTGCCTCCTCTTTCTTTTTTTTCTTTTTTTATGCATTTTTTTTCTTTTTCCACAATCTATCCCATAACACCTTGCACATTTTCTTTCTTTCTTTCTTTTTTTTTTTGTGCGGTACTGGGGCTTGAACTCAGGGCCTTATGCTTGCTAGGCAGGCATTCTACCACTTGAGCCACTCCACCACCCTGCCTCCTCTTTCTATACAGTCATTTTAAGAACAGCCTGTAATAAGCACTAGGAGGCCAATTTATATTCAATTTCAATGGCCAAATATTACCCCATATTGAACAATATTTAGTTCTCTACTGATAAAAATTTGAATTGTTTCTCCCTATTTTTTATCATAAACAATTCAGTGAATTACTCCTCTGTCTGTCTGATTCTCTCTCTCTCTCTCTTTCTCTCCTGTGGTGGTCCTGGGGTCTGAACTCAGGGCCTCAGGCTTACTAGGAATTTCTTTTTTTTTTTTTTTTTTTTTTGCGGTGCTGGGGTTTGAACTCAGGGGCTTCACCTTGAGCCACTCTACCAGCCCTTTTTTGTGAAGGGTTTTTTCAAGATAGGGTCTTGGGAACTATTTGCCCAGGCTGGCTTCAAACCACGATCCTCCTCATCTCTGCCTCCTGAGTAGCTAGGATTACAGGTGTGAGCCATCAGTGCCTGCCTCGGATCTCTTTCACTGAGTCTGCTTCCTTAGAAGAAAGAATTAATGGGTTAGAAAGTATCCATACTTTAAAGGTTTTCCTCCTTATTTTTAGGTTGTTTCTTTGAAAGTGTATGCTAGCAAGCTAGGCATGGTTTTGAGCATCTGCACTACTAGCTACTCAGGAGTTTCAAGTAAACCTGGGCAACATAGCAAGAGCCCATGTCGAAAGATTACGGTATTTCATTTTCTATAATGGTATGATGATAGTAGCTCCTTATACCTATGCCAGCAGCGTGCCAGTGTGGCTCAGATAAGGAGCACAGTGTGAATGAGCATATGCCTGAACAAATACTGAGCATGATTTTAAAAAAAAAAATCTTTGCCAGTCTGATAGGCAAGAGATTCTTGTCTTAAGATTGATATTCAACTTGCAAAGCGAAGAAATACATTTATGTTTATTGGCCATTTTCTGTGTTTTTTATAGTTTCTGGCTGGGGTTTTCATGTTATCCCTGACTTAACTATGGTTCATGTTTCAGTTTTTGACTTTATGATGGTGCAAAAGCCATGGACATCTAGCAGAAACCATTATTTTGAATTTTTATCTTTTCCTGGGCTAGTCATATGTAGTATGATACTCTTAAGATGCTGGGCAGCAAACACTGAAAATCACTTATTTTGGTTTCCTTTTTGGTGGGAGCTTGGTTTTAATTTTGTTCATTAGCTTAAAAACTTATGTTTTCAAGTTCAGGATACTGAAATAGAGTAAAGGGAGGGGGCTTGCAGAATGGCTCAAGTGGTATAGAGTGCCTGCCTAGCAAGCATGAGGCCCTGAATTCAAATTGTCCCACCACCAAAAAAAAAGTTTCTGCTGTTGTGTCCAAAACAACAAATAATATCCTTATGCCAAGCATTGGTGGCTTAACACCTGTAATCCTAGCTACTCCTGAGGCATAGATCAGGAGGATTATGGTTTGAAGCCAGTCTGGGTAAATAGTTTGTGAGCCCCTATCTTGAAAAAAACGCATCACAAAAAATAGGGCTGGTGGAGTGACTCAAGGTGTATGCCCTGAATTTAAGCTCCAGTACCACAAAAACAAACAAACAAAAACAACACAACAGTAACTGGGGACTTGAGTGGTCAGGATAGCTCTCTTTAGGCATTGACATTGAAACTGACACCTTAAGGATGAGGAGTTAGCTAGCCTTTGCTAGCTATGGAGAAGTGTTCCAGAAGAACTACAACATACTCAGAAGTTCCTAGGTAGTAAAGACCTTTGTGGTTCTAGAAAGTGACTGGAACTCAGTGAGAGCAGAAGGGGAGTAACACAAAATGAATCTGGAGAGGAAAAAGGAGGCCAGGAGCTGGGCATTGGAGCTCACCCCTGTAATCCTGGGGGTGGGGGTGGGCGCTGGAAATTGTGAGGATCAGCGGTTTGAGTTCAGCCCTGGCAAGTTTGTGGAACACCCTCCCCTCCTCCCCCCTGCAAAATCTCATGGTGTCATGCACCTGCCTTCCCAGCAGTAAGGGTAAATAGAAGTATTGAGGTCCAGGCCAGCCTGGGTGTAAACATCAGATCCTATCTTAAAAATGACCGAAGTAAAAAGGGTTGGGGGCATGGCTCAAGTGGTAGAGTGACTGCCTAGCAAGTGTATGGCCCTGAGTTCAACTCTAAATAATGCAGCAGTTCCCCGCCCCCCCCCAAAAAAAAGCCAGGAAAGACACACAGACGTATTCTAAGCTGGGTACCGATGAAACCTGATTTATTTTTGGTTCAGGGCCTCACCCTCAGTTTTTTCACTTTTAAAAAGTTTTTCAGATAGAGTCTCAAGAGCTTAACTTTTTCTAGAGACCAGCTTCAGACTGAGATCTTCCTACCTCCACTTCCTTTGTGCTGCTGTGCCCAGCTTTTTTATAATTAGTTTTTAGTTTTAGCAAAGTAGTCTGTATTTGTAACTTAGAAAATAAAATGATGGGAACATATTTTTATTGAAGAAGGACCCCAATCACTTACTCTGTTCTGAGGTAGTGAAACTCC